CCACGGGGTTCGACCTGAACCTAGCGATGAAGCCTACGAGCGCTCGGCTGCTTTTGGCCGTGTGCTCGAAGCCGACCACATGTTTCCGTCGGAAGAGAGCGTGAGCAACGCTGGGGAGAAAGTGGCCCTGGTGATCGTTGATCTATTCTCCGGTCTGAGCATGGCCTATCCGGCCAGAGACAGGTCAGAAGAATCCTGTTACAACTCATTGAAACACTTCGGTGGCCATAGATTGAACGGTGATACCGGTGTCATTTTTAAATCAGATGCAGCCGGTGAGTTGACAGGAGCGGCATCCAGGCTGTGCTGGACAATATCCCCGAGCATCCCCAGGGATTGGCCTCACGCGGCCCACGTAGAACGTGAGGTGAGGACGTTGAAAGAGTTGTGCAGACCAGCACATCTCCAGGCCGGCTTCAGCAAGAAGATGTGGCCGATCTCCGTTGTTTACACTGCAAAAGCTCGTGCCTTTCGGTCGCCCTGTGTGATTCGCAAGCATGAGCGTGGGACGGAGATTGAGGAGCTCAAGACTGGCAAGACCCGTTGGGAGGTTTGCACAGGTGAGCCCTTTCTTGGAGTGAAGTACCCTCTTGGTGCACTTGTTTTCTACAGGGCCAAGAGCGATGGGATGGCCGCTCCAACTACAAGACCAGGCTTGTTTGCAGGATGGCGTGTTGACTCAGGCTTGCGATACCGCAATGTCGTACAGATTGTTGACTATGAAGCTGTCCGCGCAAGAGCGCATTTGCATTGGAGTCCCAAGGACTTGCATGAGAAGGAGGTGTTTTTCCCTCCTGTTGAGCACATTGAATTTCCTTTGTCCAACGCGGCAATGAAGGCGTTGAAGGAAATGTCTGACCCTGAGGTGAAGAAGAAGATCTATGACAGATCTCTTGAGTCGGGCGTGCTCCCATATGACATTGACATTGATGCTTTTCCGGAAGATACCCCAGTTGCACCCCCACGTCATGCATACATTACTTTTTCACGTTTGTTGGAGCATGGTTTTACGAAGGGTTGCCCTGGATGTGATGGTGGCCACTACCGCCACAACAAGGCATGTCGCGAGCGATTTGATGCCATCTTCCCTAGAGAAGCTGCAGCGCCTCCTACACCGGCGCCAGATGTTGGAGCACCGAAGACACCTGGACCGCTTCCAATGCCTAAGGGTTCAGGGAAAACATCTTCTTCCTCTACCACAGGAGCAGCAGAAAAGGAACATTGGGTTGAGCCGGAGGCCACGAGTACTCTCCTGATGAACTTCCCGAGGGATATGTCCCACCGGAAGACGTTGCGGCTGGGGTGTATGCCCTGGTGACGAGACAGCTCACACGGAACGAAGTGTTGTCCCGACCTGATGCACTGCAGGCGATCCGCAAGGAGTTCGATGGTGTTGGTTCCATGGGAACATGGGAACTTGAGTCGGTTGACGAGGGGTTCCGCGTGAAGGAGGCTGCATTGAAGAAAGGAGAAACTATTCACATTGCAGACTTGCTTGCTATTTGCAGCGAAAAGCACGTTGAGTTGGCTCCAGAGCTTCGTGCTCTGAAAGGTCGCGTGTGCTATCGTGGTGATTCTGCAAAGACGGCTGAAGGAAAGCTAGCACTTTACCAGACGTTAGCTGCGTCTCCTGCGTCGATAGTTGCAGCCAATAGCGTTATCTCTTTTGGTCTTTTTGAGGGACACAAGTTGTCGTCGGCAGACGCCGTCAAGGCGTATCTCCAATCGGAGTTGAAAAGTTTGGCTGCCACATACATCCGTCTCCCAAGAGAATTGTGGCCTGAATCTTGGTTCAACCCAAGCGGCTACCCTCGCTTCAAAAGACCAATCATTAGATTACGAAAATCGCTATACGGACACCCAGAAGCTGGGGCCCATTGGCAACAGTTTCTTGAAGAACAGTTGTGTCTCTTAGGAGCAGTCAAGGTTGAAGAGTTTGCATCCACCTTCACCATCCCTACCTTCGGAGGATTGGCATTGGTTGTCTACGTGGACGACTTGATTCTCTCAGGACCAAGTCAATGGCACGAGCCTTTCTGGGAGGCGTTGGGTGAAAAGGTGTTGATTGATGACATTGGTCCGTTGGGTCGCTTTCTTGGTCGACACCACTCCACTGTCGAGGTTGATAACACAGAGTTCTTTGGCTTTGACATGCGTGCTTACGCTGAGGCTACTGTTCAAGAGTACTTGAGGGTTGCAAACAGCCCAGAGATGAAGATAGTCGCATCACCGTTTCTCAGCAAAGGGTTCGTTGGAGCAGATGAGCGTGGTGCTCTGGCATCTTCAGCCAGCAGCATTCTGATGAGACTGATGTGTTTGGCACGCCTTGCTCGTCCCGACCTGCTGAGAGTTGTGACTTGGTTGGCAACCATGGTACAGGACGTAAGCTTGTGATGCGTACCTGTTCCGAGCCATGTGCTACCTCGAGTGCACCAAGAACGCTATGTTGCTTGGACATGTGCGTGATGCGCCGGAGCATGTGTTTGTTGAACTTTTCGCAGACGCAGACTACTGCGGAGATGATGAACACACCCACAGTACCACTGGTGGATGGCTACAGTTGTCTGGCCCGCGGACATCGTTTCCTTTGGCATGGCTGTCGAAGAAACAGGCGGCTACGTGTCGAAGCACGACGGAGGCAGAGACTGTCGCACTGTCGTATGTGCTCTTTGAAGAGGGTTTGCCATTGGTTGAGTTGTATTCCGCAATGCTTGGGCGTCCTGTGTTGTTGAGGCTTCGCGAAGACAACACTGCATGCGCGAAGGTCGTGACTGCTGGATACTCCAAGAAGTTGAGGCATCTCAAACGCGTACATCGCGTGAGTTTGGCTTCTGTAAAGGAACAGTTGGACCGCGATGACGTGGAACTGAGCCTTGTTGGAACAAGCGACCAGAAAGCCGATGCTTTCACAAAAGCAGTTGAGCCTGCACTATGGCCCAAAACCCTCCAAAACCTTGGAGTGCACCTTGATGGGTACACCATCAAACACACCTCAGGCACTGGCCTGAAGCTCGACAAGCAGATGGCATTGCAGCCAGATGCACCAACAACAGACGTAGCGACAGGACCTCAGGGCACGGCAGGCCCTACCCAGCCAGGGTACAAGAAACGGCAGAAACACAAGCCGAAGAGAATACCTCCGTACAGTGTGCCACAGAACCTTTCCGAACCAGCTGGATAGCCCGGGATTCAGAACTGATCCCAAGCCGTCGAGCAGCTCAGGAGTCAGAGGGGGGAGAAGAAATCCCTCAGCTAGAAACGTCCCCAAGAAGCACTGAGCTTGAGTGAGGTTGCACACTTCATGTATAGATGACACGTCATGTATAGTTGATGTCTAGGAACACTTATCCAAGACTGAAATTGTCATGTAAAGACTTGCATCATCGGTAATCGGCTTTGCCGTTGCACTGTATCACTGGACGCCAACCTGATTTGGCTCAAGAACTTGAGAAAAGGTGCATTGGCCGTTGAATGTCGTTCGAGACCGTATCGACCGCTGCCTTTGCATAGGAAAGACAGGTTCCAGAGTTTAACTTATGTTCATATAATTCCACAAGTTGGTGAGCACTGGTGACTTTTGGTTTGGCCTTGCAACTGGGGATTTGGCTTCCACGGCCAGATATGGTATTTACCTGCTTGGGGGCCAAACAGTTCAAACTATAGTTAAAGTGCAGGAAACTTGTTTCTTGAAAGATCCTGGGGGGCACCTGTTGTGCTTATTGTTTGTTGGGAGACGTGACAGGTTTGTGGCATTTCCGCAGGTCCTCAAGTAGAGGAAGGAGGTTTCTATGCAAACGGTTGGACCACCATGCAAACATGCCTCCAACAAGAAACAATTTTTCATACACTCTCGGCCAACCAGGTCCATTCTGGCCTGCTTGGGCACTGAAAAGAATAGTACAAATATCAAAACATGGCTCCCTCGACGTCATTGCCCTTTTCCCTTGATAAGACCGTTTTAAGGATGGTCACGGCCCTGTGTGCCCCCTGAAGCGCTGTGTGGTTCGCATAAGCACGCGATGTGCGCTCGCAAGCTGCTTGGAGGCCGCGTGCACATTTGGACCGGGGAAGAACAGCATAACAAGCCGGGGGAAAAACTACTAGTGACAAGGGCATCGCTACTAGTAGCAAGAAGCTACAGTGCATTTTTTTGTGTAACAAAATACGAGTTGTCATTTGGCATGATTAAACTATCGAACTGATGGGCCCATGGCTATACGGATGATCCTGAGCTGATGTTTCAGATACAACACCTCCAGCGTTGCGACAGGGGAATGATCGGCCAAACCAGTTGATCGCGTCGTGAAGCGCCACCGTCCACCTGCGGTGGTGGTCGTGGTGGTCGTCCACGGGGCGACAGGGAATGGGCGCCGACCAGAGGGCGTTCCCTCCCATTTCCAGACCGATTCATTGTTTCCCCTTGCTCCTGCAAGTGTGCGCATGTCCAAAGACCACGTCACTTGCAATTGTTGGTCTCGCATTCGGTGAGACCGCAGGAGCAAGGGGCACAGACTTGTAGCTCGGACCAAAAGGATGCACGACGATTTGATGGCCGATATGCTTCTGTTTTCTCACCAAGCACTGTTGGAGGGAGGGAAAGCTCTCCCTTGCTTGCATGTCTTCGGTGAGCATAGCTGGCCATCAACTTTGGATAATTGTGTTGGATGGACAGATTGTCGCTTGTGCCGACATTTCAATCATACATGCCATGTTTTGGAGAAGAAATATATACATTAGAGCACTTCACAGGCTTTCATTTCTACGCTCAGCTGATGAGTTCGAACGCGTTTTTTCCGGAAAGGCCCAGACAAGTGAGCCAACCTTGGTTTCCGGCCCTGATGTCTAAGAAATATGTACAGTATGTTTCCTGGTAGAACCTACCAGAATCTCAACATTTTGACAAGTCATTTGTTTGAGGGGAGGGAAGACGTGGACATGGAGATGAACATCACCATTAGGGCGATTTAGGGCAGAGGTGCGGCTGTGCGTTTCCGCGCGCCATGCTTCGCGCGCAACTCTTTGTCCCGCTGGTTTTTGCTGCTGCAATTTGGATTGAAGCCCAGTAGCGTCCTTGCTCCTAGTAATTAGCGATGCCAGGAGCCCCTAGTAGCGTCCTTGCCCCAATACACCCCGTTTGCCACCCCAAAACGTCGAACACGACTTTCGCCCAAGCAAACTCTGTAGTGTTCCGTTTCCTTTTAGCTCCACGGGTTCTGGCTCAAAAGAGATCAATGGATTCCACAGCTTCCAGGGGTTTCTGAGTCCAGACCAACCTGAAGACTGACTGAGGTGATTGCAGGGATGTTCCTGTCACTTGGCCAGCAGGGTCTTGATATGGAGAGTGGACATCAGGACTTGTCACCGCAAGATGCGCAGAAGCCGCGGGGCATGACCGGGGCATGTTCTGAGAGAACATGTAACATGAATGTAGCTGCCGGAAGGCCAGTCCAAGAAGCATCTGCTGGAAAAACCAGCTAGCACCAGCTCAGAAGACGCATCAAACTTGGAGCAAGATTTCAGGATATACTATTGCCTTTTGGATTTTATGACCATTCTGTAAATTTCCGCATAGTTCTGCAGGTGGCGATGCTATTTGGACTGAGGTAAGTAGACAGTGGTTAATAGAGGTTTGCATGTAGTGATGACTGCAGGCGCAAGCAACTCTCTTTTGTGTATTTTTGTGTTTGCCTAGTAATAGTGTTATCCAGGTTGCTGAGTTTTGACACGTCTCAGGCTATCGGCATTGATCTCATATGGTTTTCACTTGCTTGGCATCAACTTTCAGGAGGAGTTTGGACAGTCTGTGTAGCACATGAACAGGCCAAACAGTGTCCTTTTCATTCCTGGAATTGCCAGCAATTAAAGAGGCACGGCGTGTGAAAGAACATGGCTTGTTCATGCAGTTGTTGACCTGTGCTGCCACCACTACAGGGGATGGATTAATTACATCAGGATCTTCAGCACTATCGTGCAAAAGCGGGGATTATCATAAGGAGAAGGTTTCAGGATGCGACTGGACGCCGACGCTGAATCTCCACATGCTACGACCTACCTGTTTGGGGAGCCGTGTTGGACACCGCTGCATGTGTGACGCCCAACCACTCCGAAGATCAGCGACGAACGTCTCGGGTTGACAACGAGGTTCGGTGAATCACGCGGGTCATCCGGAGGAAGGTGGGGTTTTTGATGCGAGGATCCTTCCAGGCGTGGCTCCACTTTGGACCGACGACCGTTGACCGAAAAGCAACAGAAGCTTTGGCTTGGATCGTTTTGTTGGGGCACATCACTCAAGAAGGATCTTGGTTCGCAGGCCATTTTAGCGGGTCCCCCTGCAGAGCATAAAAAGGACACAACATGATCTTCCAGCATACGTAAGTTTGGCGGACGGAGCTGGGGATACTGACACTGACAGAAACATCCAAAGCATACGGCCTCGTGGACTTCATTTAAGAAACCGGGCAGAAACGTTCACTCCATTTAAGAAACAAACCGTTGAAACAAAGTCTGCAGATCTCTGCAGACCTCAGGAACATGAAGACGTGTTTTCAATCTTTACAATTGTTTTCTTTCTACACGTCTACTCACTGAGGTCAAGGGATTGCCTTGCCTAGGATGCTGACAGGTTTTTGAAGCTTCTCCATGATTCCATGAAACACATGCTATGAAATACCATGAGCCATCCAGGTCAATAGTCTTGAGAGGTTTTGGTGGATTTGCCAACTTTCCCAAACAAACATCCATAGTTGTGTCCTAAGCTCGGGACGCCTGATGTGAGGGTTATATTTATGAGCCTCACCAGCTCTGCAAGACGACCCAACTACCAGCGTCCGGACGTGGGAGCATTCAGCTTAAACATCTTAGAAACATAACATAGCTCGTTTTCCATCCGGGCAGTTGCCGACGTCCTAGGAAAGCCTTGGAGGAAGAGATCCAAGCGCATCTTCCAGATGTTTTCGTCTCTGCAAGTGGGGGCGAGGAGATGACTTGCCCAGTGTGCTTCTGGACTGAAGGTTTGAAGCCGCCACGCTTCCCCTCCGGTGTATATATCTATATATGTATTTTCATATATATATACACATATATATATATATCATTATTATCATGGCCTGAAAGAAAGACCACAAACATGGTCCAGATTCCTGTGGACATCCCGAGCCTGAGAGCACATGTTAAGATTGCATGTTGATGCACGCGATGCATCATATGGCTATGACAAACATACCTGTTTGAAATCGCTAGATCCGAACTCCCTGCCAGAGGCAGACTAGAGGAGCTTAGTTTGGTGAATGCCATTTTGAGCAGCACGCGGTTTTGGGTGCTTGCAGTGCCGACCCACTCTGGGTTTGCGCATCACACAGCCTCGTGCTGGGACGGATCGCCCCAGTCATTGTTCTCCCCTGTTTGCACCCACCTGTCGACTTGCAAGATGATGGAAGTGTGGATCTTGGAAAATGTTCCACTTCACTCTGGAAATCAACAAACTGACAGCTTTGAGTGAAGTCATCAAACGGCTGCCATGTTCATCATATGTTGTTCAGTGCGACGAGGCTTAGATGTGATTCAGGCGGACGAGCCAGCAAAGCAACTGCAATGCAAGCACTACTACCATAGCAGCTGCCTCATTGCGTGGTGCACCAAAAAGATTCAAAAGGCGAGGCTACGTAGTGATTCACGATTTTCTTGGGCTTCCACGCTGGAGGTGTTTGTCCTTTTTTTTTGCACCATCTTCTTTGGATTTTTTGGTATGGGCATGGGCAAAGCTGGACCGGTCCAGTTCTCACAGGTGGAAACAAAAACTCCATGCATAACCTTCCCCCAAGACAAGTCTAGTCAACCAGTCATTTACTTGTGACACCGGCCAAGTCAGGTTTTGTTCAAAGGCGGAGATGTGGGAAGTGTTGCCAACTACATACTATATGGCATGCCACCCCAACCTAGCCTACCAGAGGTATGATATTCTTCCTTACCTAGTGTTGAAGGAATTGACACTCAGATCAGTTCATAGGTGGATGATGTGCATAGGTCCTGAGCGAAGGCCGACCTTAAGGATATTTAACCTACCTGTTATTTAATACCCTGAGGTCACTTCCCATGCACTCCTAAAGGCCCTGGCCTCGTCCTTGGCCCTTTCCCAACTGAGCAGGAGTGCATCAATCAGACTACGATACAGTGCCCCATTTGCCGAGACTTGGGCCAGTGCTTAAGAAGACATGTAATGTATGGCAGGGTGAAATCAACTACTCACAGGATATTCTTTGGGGGCCCTGAATGCTTGTCACAAGAAACGGCAATTAAGATTTCTTCTGACAAATCTAGCGCTCCTAGTATTCCTGGTCCCCACCAATGTGAACCACGAAGGCCCCAGACTGGGGATGGCTTGACACCATCAAGATGTGTTGTCTCTATAGAAGCAATGGCCTCCAACCTAATAGCAATGGCCTCCAACCTAACAACATCTAAAAATGCCCAAGGAAGCCCTCATCCGCTTGACAACATCGACGAGCAACCCGAGCTCGCTCAACAGCTGGGTCGTTCGCTGGAGATCGTCGAAGAGGTGGTCTAGGCACCTCTTACGGTGGTCGATCTCGATCGACCGACATCACCGGTGAATGGGGTCGAAGATAACTTGCAAGGAGTCTTCCAAGGCATACGAGGAGAAGAGAATCCAATCTTTAGGTGGGTGAGTCAGTAACAACGTACCGGATGCACACACGTGAGCCACGTTTGTTTTGCAAATGATTCGGTTTATACAAAAAGGGAACTGTTGAGAAGTTGCGGAGGCTGTTCTGCTTGGGGCGTAGGCGTCGTGTAAACATTTTGCGTAGGTCGGTGGGTGTTGAACGACTTGCGTAGGCAGTCTTGCGTAGGCACATTGTGTGTTTCCATAAAGACATGTTTTTGTATGTTTTTGTTTTTATTTATTTGCACACCTACACACACGCACCCCTAATTGTTATATTTATATATATATATATCAATGGTCCATCCGCCGCCGTTGCCGTCGATAAGAAAGTCAGCACTCGTGCCGTTTCACTTACATGTTGAGACACCCCTGTGTGATTTTAGCTTTCTAGATACAACCTCCATGGACCAAAGAGGGAACGTGACTCATGACCCCGTATCAGCTTGCCATTTTCAACATGACACGCATCAACTGAATAACTAGCCGCCTCTCTCCATTTCTCATAGACCTGGGTCATCCATGATTCATGATGGCTCAACTACAGAGTAATTTCCACGCTCCAGGCTTGGCGCAGGCTGGGCCGGTGAACCGCGACTCATTGACAACAGTGCAATCCTGTCAAGACTGCCTAATCCTGATGATAGCAGTGGATATTCCGTTGCGAGTGGTAGACTCAAACCTTGTGAGTCAAGGACCTGCCAGAATCGACTGAATCAAAGACATCGGATAATGAGAGCAGCTAGGACCTTCAGGTTTAGGTTGGCCAAAGCTGAACTTGTAGGTGAACCGCCCCCGTTCACCAGCCAACATTGGATGTGAGTCAAACAGTATCTAGCTGGGTCAGAGGGCCGTGATGGTTCAAGTTGAGATGCTTTGATTGGAGGTATAAACAGCGGGAAGATTCCCTTGAACAAAACAAAGAGACTGATCCCATCAACAGTGTGGGATGGATGACTTCAAGTTTGAGAGCCACTCGCGTGAAGTTTAGAATTGATTTTCAACCTCAATTCCCGTGTACATGGATTCTTGCTCTTATTTCATGCAATTTCTGTAAACAGCTGGATCTTCAAGCGCAGCTGGAGCTGGACACTTTGTTATTCTTCCATTGTGCCAACGTCGTACAATTTTTGGTTTTGTTTTTGTTGGTGACTTGGGTTTGTAGCTTGTCTTGGGCAACGGAAACTAGCGGCGCTTCCCATTGAGTGGCTTGAGCGTAGCTGCGTAGCTGGAAATGCTCGGATATAGAACGACGAGTCGAGTGTTTAATACCGTCTCAGCCGCCCATTTGCAACATATTTTCGACTGCAATCCAAATAGATCCAAATAGTAAACCAATGTCAATGTGAGTCAGTCATTCAAGTATTGATTGTATTGGGTTTGCCCTGGATGCTGTATCCCAGTCTAGCTGTATCCCAGTAGCTAGACTCAGCTAGACCATCTTGAATATCTTGGAAACCTTTAGCGATGAACCGGTGAACTGGTTTCAATGGTATTTTTTGGGGCCCTGACAAGGATCCCTAAAAGCGCAGGTGATAGCGGATTTGGTGCGCCCAGCATGATATTCACATGATTTGGTGAGCCTGAGCAGCGCGTCGCCCTCATGGTCGGAAGATCGGCCCGAACATGTTTTAGCCCATCTGGTGGTCAGCTTCGGTGGTCGCATCGGCATACGAAGCCGCAAGTGGTCGGCGAAGCTGGGAATTCTGAAAACGACCATCGGAGTGCAACTGACAAAAGCGTCAGGAACATTTGTAGAGGTAGTTGCTTGAGAGTTCTCCAGAATTCTGGTTTGCAGCCGGCAGTTCAAGTGACCCCTGGTAAACAAGATGAACAGTGCATTGAAAGCTGTGGTCGAGCTTGCTTGGCTTCGATCTGTGCACGGATGAAGCGATTTCATTGCAAATGTTCAGTTTTCCATGCCAACTTTGGAGATTGAGAAACCCGTGTTGAAGATCAATATATAACTGCCGTGTGTTGACTTACAGTCCTCCTTGAGATCTCCAAAAGGGCACCCAGGAAGGGTTGACATGGATTGGTTCATTAAGCTTTGCTGGCTCATGCGAGGAGATGCGGACATCTCCTTGCAACGCTTGGTATCAACCTGCCAGAGCCACCCAGCACACTTGACCTGTAGCTAGGGACAAAAGTTCACCGCGCAGGACCGTCTGTAGAATCCAAAAGATATGCCCCAGGAGCCCCTGAACAAGATCATCCGTCAGGATGACCACATAGTACTGTATGTTCATTGCATTGTTTGGATTCATATAACTTAAGGTACTTTATATCTATCTATCTATCTATCTATCTACCTATCTACCTATCTACCTATCTACCTATCTACCTATCTAC